TACCCAGATTCTCCTGGCCCCATTCACATTGATGGCAGTGCCACCCCTGAACCAGCAGTTTACTTTTCGTTAAATTTATAGTAGAGGGAGAAAATAGATGGAGAATCTGAATAGACCAGGGGCAGACTCGTGGACAATGACAATTGAACTCTCGCAAGAATTTGAGCCAAATGACAAACAACAGTCAGTGGTTGTGGACTCGCACTCAGAGCCCACGTCCTGCCCAGTGCACGCCAAAGTCAAGTGCAACCAAGCTTGTTTGAAAACAAAATTATAAATAATCAGAGGAAGCCAAGCCTTTAGATGGAAGATATTAGATGTTCAAAAAGCAAAGAGAAGGAGAGAATGAAAAAAAAAAAAAAAGAATCAGAGAACAGAGACCCACTGAGATTCTAGTTCCCAGCTTAGGTCTCTATAAAGTCCAAGCTGGACTTTGTTTTCTGCTTCTGGATGTCTGAAAGCTTGGCGGCTTTATCTTTACAATTAACTCCTCTTTTTAATTTGAGTTAATTCGAGTGAGATTTGATTCCTAGCAACCCACAGTCTCTCTGACTAATGGCTTTCTCTTCTCCCCCAGGCACCCAGGGCTTTAGTGTGGCCCTTCTCCTGCTTTTGAGGAAAGAAAGTGGTTTGAAAATTGTTCACACCGTCAAATTGTCTGACTTTTTTCCAGTAGCATTTTACAAACTCACTGCAGTAAGATGGCAACACAAGACACTAAGGAATAGTAATTCACGATATCATTTTTGTCATTGTTTATAGATTTGGAATATACATAAACATATATTGGAATATATTTTAGGAATCTTCCCAGAGCACCTTCTACTATCTCAGGAGCTGACCTCTTCCTCTGCCTAAAGGATGACATCATTACACATGAACCTTTCCTTGTCCCCCGACACCACACACACACACACACACACACACACACACACACACACACAACTCTTCTATCAAATTTTAAATGCTTGAAAATAGAGATTACGTCTCCACCGTCTTTGCACACTTAGCATCGTAGTACAGTGGCTAACACTATAGCATTCATTTGAATGAATACATGTCATATGCGTAAACTGAATGCATATTCTTTCTCCACCTCTCTTGAATGTTTTTAGAATGCCGGGACCTCATATTCAGATACTTTCCTTTGCCCTTTTGCTATTCCTTCTGGACTTCCACGTGTCCTTAGACTACTGTGAGCTCTGCTAGAATTGTTTGAAGGGTGTGAGGAAGACAGGAAAGCGGCATTAGCCTTTACTCAACCTAGGAAAAGAAGCCATGGAGGTGGCCCAGTCAGAGTCATCAGGCTGTGATTAAAGGGGCATTTGAAAGGGACTTTCTGAGCCAGCACAACTTCCCATCCATCTGGGCACTCCCAACATTGGCCCATAAGCCTGCAAGCCCGCATCCATTACCTGCCAGTCAGGAAGCTGGCTTGCCAATGAGGACATACAACATACTTTTGTCAATGCAGGTGCAAGTGCATAAACCCAGTGGTTCCAAAGGAACAGCTGCCCTGTGTAATGTTT